GAAAGGGGAGTCCCGCAGAGCTATCTATGGGTATCGGGGGTCGTAAAGGAATTTTTTTTCTCGAAGAGATGAGAACGGATTTTGAATGGATGGACTCGGCCGACATCGAGCATCGCACTGGTGAAATAGTTCATTAAGCCAGGGCTATCATCGAGCGACTCATGAATCTGCGGGGGCTAGAGACTTGCAGAGTGTGGCGTACTTTTCGATGGCAACATTCCGGAAATTTGCCGAGCTCTTTGCCACACAGCCAGTTCAAGGAAGTTAGTCGACTTCGGTTGGTGCTTGAAGGGCGCAATCCGAACATCCGACCGTCGACAGGAAAACGAGCGAGGCGCAGGAGCCGCGAACCTCGGAAATGAAGACGCGTAGATACGATCGAAGGCACGAAAATCGAGGATGGGCGAGCGTCTCAGACGAAGAGACCATCGAGCACTGACGGAGCCCTACTTGGTGCGAATTCGGTGTTGTGGTCCATCAGATCTCCGCTGATCCGTCAAATAAAATCTGCGATTTCTCCGAGAGAACGTTGAATCGCTATTCTTCCGAAATATGAATCTGAGTCGCTGATTCACCCATGACCATGCATGCTTCCAAGATATATACCTAGAGCTCTCGAGGCTTCGTATTTCAAATAATCGGCGACCATTCGAATTCCAAGGGCCGAGAGTTGCTAGTCACTAGCACAGCCTCCGGTGTGTCCGTGCGAGGAAAGAAAAACTTAGACGAGAGGGAGAAATTCGGCTGCACGAGAAGTCAGCCAGTGTGTGCCCGTTGTCGGAAATCTGCTTCTACGCTTTTGGCAGCGTCGACATCGTGTCGGGACCGCGTACTGTGAACGTGTATGATATCTGGTAGCCGTTGGGCTGGTGAGCCGTTGCCGAGCGTGGCAGATGGTAAAGGCACACCATAACGACGGCCGTAGTGAGTGTGTCGACGGCGTCGGTCTGGAGCAACCGAACCCATCCGACCGACCGACCAACCGAGCGGGCGCGAGAGTGAGTGAATGAGCAAGAAACCTTCGACCAGAGTGAAAACAACCTATGCTCTTGGCAGAGCACTTTATGTGGTCGCTGCTGCTTCGCGCCAGCCCCAGTGAGGAGCTGCTGCCGCATGAGCCGCTCACCCCTTCTCTCAACAGCGGCTGCAGCTCCAGTGGCGGCAGCAGCCGCAGCAGCAGCCGAATCCGACACCAAAACACACATGGACGAACTTCTAGGCGCCAAAATGGTTCGCTTCGCTCACGACGGATCTTACCTCCGATGCTCCGAGAGGTTTTCAGGGTTCGCTCAATCCCTCGGACATCGATTGACGAGATTCCACTGTTCGGGAGAGGATCCGTCCATAGATCCTCATAAGTTCACCAAGCATCGGAGTTGAAACCCCATTCATGAGCATTGTGTGCCGTTCTGCGCGCGCTGCCGTACGAACGTTGACTTTGGCCCTGAGATTGGTAAGTTCGTGGTTTTCTTTTTATTCGCGTGCTCCAGATTCGCGCTTCGCCTCTTTTTTCGAGCTCATGCGTGTCATCGAAGTATGTAGTACAGAACGTGTTCTGAGAAGTCTGGATCAATCACGAGTCAGCTGATGGTGAATTTAAACTTTCCGGTATGGTGATGGCAGAACCCCGACCAGCGTCGGAACGTTTGGTCTCGCCTCGCCATCGGTAGGGTTCGATAAAGAGCGAGCTGGTGTGAGAGGTGGAAATATCTCAGCGAAGGGAAACTTGATCAATTCCTTGGGACTGAAGTTTCGAATGCGACCATACTGGAAATTCTAATGTCTCGCAACGGACGCTGATGACTCGGAAGTACTGGAACTTCTCCTCCCACGGCTGTCTCTGGTAGACCGACGGATTTCGATTCGCTTTCCTTGGTTCGTACCGAAGGCCGGAGGGGATAATTGCTGGCATCCGACCGAATCCGGCGCGGGTCGCGTATCGCGTCCGTGGGAATTTCTTGGGAGTCACTCACGTCGCATAAGATCAACAGTTGCGTCGTTGCGTCCCTCGTTTAGATTTGCCGGAGATCTGGCTCCTTGGATTGCCTCGAATCTCCCCCCATGCGACGTGTCAGTCCCCGTAGGCTACGAGGCAAAAGTGTACCCAGCGAGGGTAGCGATCGGTATGCACCGCTACCCTCGCGAAAGACCCTGGATCCGTTTCAACGATAGGGGGTTACAACTCACCCTAGCGATGCGCGCAAAGCTCAAGACTTCACGCGGGGGGCTCAATATGCGTTGTCGAGTCGTCCGAGCTTCGTTCCTGCATTCTCTCATAGAGAAGAAAAAACGCGAAGAACACGCTTGCGGGGCTAGCCGAGAAGAGATCGAGAATCGATAGGCCTGACTCAAGACTGTTGTCTTCGCACGTTTCGCGAGCGGGCATTCCTCACGTCCCGTTAGTAACGAACCCCGAAGTTCGTCAGGCTCCTGTCCTAACACACTCCGCTCATTCATGAGGTTCCCCAGCGATCGGAGTTCTCGGATGGGAGGCATCTGATCTAATTCTGATCGTCGCCTGACTGAATGGATGTGAAGATTCCTGAACCGAAGATCAAGAGCTAAGATAGCCGTTTTCTGACTCCTTAGTGATGGGCTCTTTGTAGGAATGTCCTCCTATTGACACCCCTCCTCGCTGCTCGACCCCCAATTATTGATTGATCAGCCGATGCGACCCATCGATACCCCAGTGGCATAAGTCCGATCAAGAGCGCTCGGGAACCCACCTAATTGCAAGTCATGCCGAGTCCATAATAATCCGGAAAGGAATCCATGTGCGAGTAATCAACGCCGACATCGCATAACAAGTCACCTTGATGACCATGAGAGCTGATCGAAAATCGAGTCTCCTCCCGACCTCGTCTCATTGAAGTCGTTAGAGGGTTAGCGAAAATTTGAACCGCTCATTTAGAATGAGCATATCCGATCTCTTTGAGGATTCGTTCTGAGAGCGAATTGCTAAACCGAAGTCGGAGTTTCGTTGCCCGAGTTTGACTCAAGGCGAGCGTGCCTCGGTCCCATGGACGTCATTGACATTCCATCTACCCTCTTCTATTGCGCGAGTAGAGCGAGAGTGTTTCTTCGGCGGGCTCCGAGTTGGCCAAAGCGTCATACCGAGTTCGTCGATAGGACGGTTCGAGTTTTCGTCGTCGTCGTCGTCGCCAATACCAGCGAACTCTGTTGTATCGGCCACCGCTACCTTTGGTGAGCCTTGGCTTGAGCAAGCAAGCGTTCGACCGACCGAAGATTGCTTCTGTGGGAGGTACGGAGAAGAGCCGACAACCCGGGTTGGCACCAGAATCTTCGGTGATTTCGGCAACCCCGAATGCTGATGGGGGTCGCCGGCGGTGCTGCTGTTGCCGCGGCTGGCAGTGATTGTGGCGACGGCGATGGTGTGCCGACCCTCTGCTTGGCTCCGGTTCTCTGCCGCCGCAGCGGTAGCCGCGGCGGCCGGTGTTTTTCTTGCCGACGCGCTCCATACCCCAGCCACTACCAGGCTCGATGTAGGCAGGCAGCCCGTCCGACTATTTGGTCGACCGACTGGTCGAGCGCGCGAGCGGAGGAGAGAGATAGCGAGCGACTGGCTAGAAGGCATGGAGCAGCATAGCCACCGCTAGCCGCTCTATCAGTCGGCTGGCTCTCCGGGGGCGAGTGGTACTTGGGGTGAGAGCAGCGCTCCGGCACCGTCTCTGGGGCTGAAGCTAAGGTTTGGCTTCGCTCTGGCATGGCCACTGACGCCGGAGATGGCATCAAGTCGCCAGCGTGTTGCCTCATGCAATCTCGGAAGCGTCCCGCGATCCGCTCTCGGAGTTCTCTCGCGATCGTATAATTTATCCGTGAAATTGTGACTCTCCAAGTGCGGAGGTTCAGTCGGAGTGTGAGTAGTGCTCCAGTGCTAAGGGTGGTGGTGGCTAAGATCCTCAGGTGGTTGGTGAGAAAAGTGAAAGAACAGAAGAGTCCGAGCGTTTCGTCGGAGCAATTTATTTTCGCTTCACGAGGATGAGTGTTTTCGCATGCTCGAACTCGATCTCGGAGTTTTCCTGCATTCCCGCAATTCCCAATTCATGGGATTCTTCACGTTGATTAGCGCGATCGTTCCAAATTCTTCGCCGTCTGACTCCAATTGCGACTGCCTCTTGGCAAATCTCCGTTCGTGCCTCAGATTCCTATTTACCTCTCGAGAATGGGTTGGATCACACTAGTGAACCTGCGCCTGGAATTTGATCTCGGTCGACGGTCGAGAAAATCAGCACCCAATCGTGTCAACTCTTTCCTCTGTGCCGTAGTGATCTCCCACACGGCACCGAGTAGAAGGAGTCAAATTGGCCGGAATCGGTCGGGGTTTACCAATCAATCGATCGATTGGCTCCCCACAGTGCTCTGTCTGAATTCTCCGACGTTCTCGACCTCGTGCCGAGTCTGATTTGTTTTTTCTATTTTCAGGAGACCACGACGCGCAGCGGCTTGGTCTGCTGAGACTGAGCCCGCGTCGCAGCTCTAACTTGGAGGCAAGAACGTGTCCACATATTACCTCTTGCATGTGCGTCGGACAAGTCCCGACGTCGAGCGACGAAACACGCTCAACGAAAACAATTGTCGGGTCAAATCGGAGGATGTTAACAGTACCGGGACAAGCTAACGCCTCTCTTTTCCTCCCTGCTTTCTAATTGTCGATAGGGTGTGTGAGTGAGCAGAGTGGAAGTGGTGAAGGGTTCGGCATTAACACGAGTTTTGCTTCCAGAGTCCGCTTTTTCCGCTGATCATCATCGAAATCGATCTCTGTTTTCCCTGCGCTTCTCAGCTATTGCTTATGTCGAGTCTGTGACCGCCGAATAAAGCGCTGGATGCTCCATGTGCTAGATCTATGAAACAGTTTCCCACACCGAAAACCCGCTTTTCCGCATGTCTCTCTCGGAAGCTTTTGCATGGAGTCTCCTACAGAATAATATTTGCCCCGAACGTCAGGCTTTACTAAGCAGCTGTCTGGATTTACAGCTGGTTTGATCACACCACTAAGCTCAACACTCATGAATTCGATCTCCAACGCTTTGACACTAACGCCTTATCTGGGAGGAAATCAATGGTGCAAGGTGAGATCGATGTTCCCGCTTGGGCTCTGTGCAGGCTTGAAATCCGGAGCTTGCTTATTCCGGAGCTTCTTTGTGGCTTTTATTCATATTTTTTTTCTCGTAAGAATGCTCAAACTTTTCTGCTCTTCAGGTTAACGGCTGGAACAATATCGATCAGAAGCTTATCTGCTACGTCGATATCGAAGGCCGAACCAAGAAAATGATCAAGTGTGCCCAGTGTGACTACACGACGAATGCTCCGAGCCATTACTTCAGACACGAAATCAAACACTCGAAAATCAAACCCTTTAGGTGAGTTCAGAGCAAGCTTTCACAGAGCCTGGATGGCTAATTATCGTCTCGGAGAGACTGTGACTTCCACACAGAGCCACAGTTTTCCCAAAAGTTCTCCTCTATCCTCTCCTGAGATTCTTTATCTTCCTTCCACAGGTGTCCCTTGTGCCCCCTCACTTTCCAGAGGCGATACAAGATTAAGTACCATGTAGTAAAGGAACACCCGGGCGAGGACGTGGAAAACCTTTATTACTGAAATGTCACCCAAAGATCCCATGATTTCAGTTTCGAGGCTGAGTTCTCGCTCATCTCGGAACTAATCTGAACCTCAAAAGAGAAGCTCGTCGATCGTCTGCTTTGTGCCACAAGGACTCGGACTACATCGCGTTCTCATTTTATGTCCTAATAAGATAATTCCTGTGTCCGAGCTGTTACCTGTCTATCTGTATACATGAACCGAATCCATGCATATGTATGTATACAAAGCTACTGCTACCGTCGTTCGGCTCAAAGCAGAAGTGTCTCCGCCTGAATAAACTCCGTTAATGTATCAAGATCCTCGTGCTGTACTCTTTGTCATCGATATTCGAGCTGTTGCGTGAGCGCATGGAATATTGATCCGGCGTCATCGCGTGGTTCCTCATTCGATTGTTTCCGTTCTCGAAATCTTCCGGAGCTTCCTGATCGCCAATCGAGTCGAGGGTCTTGCCAGCATTCAGGGAAACGGACACCTCCTTGCTTCGGGGTAGAAGCGCAAGCCCTGCGCGGTACTTGAACCACAGTTTTTCTCCCCCTGCTCCTCGCGAAAAATAAGTCGGGCTATGAAACGGAGCCCACGCACCGTCGCATCGCGAGACCGTCCTGAAACCATGCATGCATCATTCAGAATCAGGCTCGAGATGCGAGCTCTCGATATCCGGGGACTTCCGGGCGGGGGGAGCTCCGAGGGAAGACCTCGCGGAAACCAGGGAGCGGTGTCGGGCCTACCCAGGAATCGCTGGAACCCGTCTCGAGAAGAGAACGCGGACACCGTGGGGCCGCCGCATCCGGCACGCTCAAGTCATGGGGATCTGAGCTCTGTGTGGGTGTGGGATATGCAGCTCCAAAACGTAGGGAGTTCGGAAAGCTATTCCCCTGCTCGAATGAACAAATCGATCGACCGAATGCTGAATACTACCCATGCATTGGCTTACTCGGAAAGATCGAACCCGATTGAAGAGATTTCCATGATTGCTACGCTGGTGAATGTCATCGAAGTACGAGACCGCAAGGAGTACCACATTCACTTACGCGCACGGCTGTAGTGACGTACGGACTGCAACCCTCATTCCAAATGACGACTATAGAGTATTTCAACTGGGATGCGGTATTTATTTGGAGATCATGGAAGTTACCTAGCGTTAGAATACAGTTTACATTCGGATATTCACAAACTCAGCACTGAACTACCAAATGCCAGCAATAAATAAAATCGGTCGATATATCTCAGCTTTTTCTCGACTAAATCTAGCTCTCAGTCTACTTCCTCCACCGTGGGACCTCCAGCTGACGACATGGGTCCTGATCCTGATGCGCTTCCCTGGTAGATTTTGGAAACTATGGGTCGGCAGAATTGTTCCAGCTCCTTCTGCTTGTGCTCATACTCATCGGTCTCCGCTAGTTGGTTCGCGTCGAGCCACTGGAGAGTCTCTCGAATACGCTCGAGGACCGAGTTTTTCTCTGATTCGGGGACTTTGTCCTTGATCTTGTCGTAGTCCGTCTCGAAGGTTCCTTTCAGACTGAAGCAGTAAGCTTCGAGAGCATTCTTCGCCGCGATTTTCTTCTTCATCTTCTCGTCCTCATCGCGGTATCTTTCGGCTTCGTTCACCATGCGATCGATGTCTTCCTTCGAGAGTCTTCCTTTGTCGTTGTTGATGGTTATTTTGTTCTGCTTCCCGGAAGACTTGTCCACGGCCGAAACGTTGAGGATTCCGTTCGCGTCGATATCGAATGTGACTTCGATTTGAGGAACACCTCTCGGAGCTGGAGCTAGTCCCGTCAGATCGAATACACCGAGCCTGTTGTTGTCCTTCGTCATTGCCCGCTCTCCTTCGAAGACTTGAATCGTGACCGCGGGCTGATTGTCGGCGTACGTCGTGAAGGTCTGAGTCTGACGAGTGGGAACGGTGGAGTTTCGTTTGATCAGCGTTGTCATCACTCCACCAGCCGTTTCCAGTCCGAGCGACAGAGGTGTCACGTCGATCAGGAGCAGATCTTGGACAGCTTCGGATTTGTCACCGTTCAGAATCGCTGCCTGAACTGCGGCTCCATATGCGACGGCTTCATCTGGATTGATCGACTTGTTGAGCTCCTTGCCGTTGAAGAAATCTTGAAGAAGTTTCTGAATTCGAGGAATGCGGGTTGATCCTCCGACCAGGACGATATCGTGAATCTTCGATTTGTCCATCTTAGCGTCCCGAAGTGCTTTTTCCACGGGCTCGAGTGTGGAACGGAACAAATCCGCGCAGAGTTCCTCGAATCTGGCCCTCGTGATGGCAGAATAGAAGTCGATTCCTTCAAAGAGAGAATCGATCTCGATCGAAGCTTGAGTCGAAGACGACAGAGTTCTCTTTGCTCGTTCACAAGCGGTTCTCAGACGACGGAGGGCTCTGGCGTTCTTTGAGATGTCCTTGCGGTGCTTGCGACGGAACTCTTCAACGAAATGATTCACCATGCGGTTGTCGAAGTCTTCTCCACCGAGATGAGTGTCTCCGGCTGTTGATTTGACTTCGAAAACGCCATCTTCGATCGACAGAATGGAAACATCGAACGTTCCACCACCGAGATCGAAGATGAGAACGTTGTTCTCGCCCGAAGTCACTTTCCTTTTGTCCAGGCCATAGGCGATGGCGGCTGCCGTAGGTTCGTTGATGATTCGCATGACGTTGAGTCCTGCAATGACTCCAGCGTCTTTGGTCGCTTGGCGTTGCGAGTCGTTGAAGTAAGCAGGAACTGTGATGACAGCGTCACGAACAGGTTGTCCCAAGTAGGCTTCAGCGGTTTCGCGCATTTTCGTCAGAACCATCGACGAAATTTCTTCCGGGTAGAAAGATTTGCGCTCTCCTTTGAAGTCCACCTGAATCTTCGGTCGGCCTCCGTCGTTCTTCACTTGGAATGACCAATGTTTCATGTCGCCCTGAATGCTGGTGTCGTCATAACGTCGTCCGATGAGTCGTTTAGCGTCGAAGACTGTGTTCTCAGGGTTCATGGCGGCCTGGTTCTTGGCAGCATCACCGATGAGTCGTTCGGTGTCGGTGAAGGCAACATACGAAGGAGTTGTTCGGTTACCTTGTTCATTGGCGATGATCTCGACTTTCCCATGTTGGAATACACCAACACAAGAATAGGTGGTTCCCAGATCGATTCCGATCGCGGGTCCTTTCACCATTGTGGATGTTGAATGCACGAAAAAAGGTTCACAAGAGTTTCAAGAGTTGTTTTCCCACAGAGTGAGAATTCACGTTTGGAAATACGCGCTGTACTGAGCGTTCAACTGGGCACTCGCTAGTTCAAGCAAGAATGATGACCCGCCACTGACGGCTCGTTCCTTATATAGCTGAAGCAGCGCCACCTGGTGTGTGCTGGAGCGGTCCGGAACTTTCTCGACAGCTCGTGACAGCTCGAGAGAGTTTCTCTATGGACTTTTTGGATTTAAAGTGAAATAAGGTTGAGAAATCTCGACATATAATATCCGATCAGCGCAGCCGGAGCGATCATATGTGTGTGAGGACAAAATTTCAGATCCTGATCAGACTTCATCCGAAACCGGCTTCCGGCCGTGTGAGAGCAGCTCATGAATCATGAATCATGAACATCTGCGAGGAGCTTTCGATGAAACTTAGAAGATTCCCTGGCAAAGCAATTTGATCTTCAGTCCGGTTCGTGATTGACGCGACGTCAGTACGAGATCCTAGCACCGGGTAGACATTGGGCAATGGATCATGAGTCATCCTTCTCGGTTGAAATAGTCGAAGAGGTTCCTTTGGTACTCCGCTGTAGCCTCGCATCCGCGGGTTGCCCAATGGTTGGAAAACTTCTTCGAAGCTATAAGCGAACACGGCTAATGTGGCGAACAAACAGGAAATCTGGCTAAAAGATCTCGGCGGATCCCCCCGTCTCCTCTGAAGCTACTCAAGTCGATTCGACCTGGAGCGGACCTATTCATTTATCGTGAGCATAGAATCGAGTCGTATAGTCAGGGGGGCTGCGAATGCGTCGGAAAACCCTACACTCGAGAGATATCCAGAAAAATTGTTCTTGGAGAATTCAAGAACTGTCGAGAAGATTCGGGATCGGTGTAGCACTCACTAGATGGCGCTGCTTCAGCTATATAAGGAACGAGCCGTCAGTGGCGGGTCATCATTCTTGCTTGAACTAGCGAGTGCCCAGTTGAACGCTCAGTACAGCGCGTATTTCCAAACGTGAATTCTCACTCTGTGGGAAAACAACTCCTGAAACTCTTGTGAACCTTTTTTCGTGCATTCAACATCCACAATGGTGAAAGGACCCGCGATCGGAATCGATCTGGGAACCACCTATTCTTGTGTTGGTGTATTCCAACATGGGAAAGTCGAGATCATCGCCAATGAACAAGGTAACCGAACAACTCCCTCGTATGTTGCCTTCACCGACACCGAACGACTCATCGGTGATGCTGCCAAGAACCAGGCCGCCATGAACCCTGAGAACACAGTCTTCGACGCCAAACGACTCATCGGACGACGTTACGACGACACCAGCATTCAGGGCGACATGAAACATTGGTCATTCCAAGTGAAGAACGACGGAGGCCGACCGAAGATTCAGGTGGACTTCAAAGGAGAGCGCAAATCTTTCTACCCGGAAGAAATTTCGTCGATGGTTCTGACGAAAATGCGCGAAACCGCTGAAGCCTACTTGGGACAACCTGTTCGTGACGCTGTCATCACAGTTCCTGCTTACTTCAACGACTCGCAACGCCAAG